CAATACAGATGTCGTGTAAACCGCTTCGTTTTATCGTTTGCATCATGAAGAGTTTCCTCATCAGTGAACAGCACACAACAGTTTAAATCATACTGTCCTTGTACATTTTTAAATGCAGCTCAATGTCTTCAATTTGGATTTCAAGGGACCAACAACAAAAATTTGACTTTGGGGGGTTTTGAGTTACACAGTAAAAATGTTTGCCTTATGGCATCATTAGCAGCATTTTTATTATGCGAAACACTGAAGAATTGCAGTAAATTGTACATGATGATATTCTGGGCCTTTTGCTTCTATGAGTTGACAGGGCACTGAATTTTGAGGCAGGGGTTCATTGGCCCAATATTTAGTCAGTCACATCCTTTCAAACCTATTCAAATTTATTTTTTATACACATGTTCTTCCCTGTTTCAATAAAATAATAGCCTAAAGGCCTAAAAATTCAACTGGTTGAGGTTTTGGAGGAAACCGCCTTTGAGTTAGGGAGGTTTTCAATGCCTTGTTTCTAATGGATTTTGGACTGGGTCTTTGAAAATTTAAGGAGAGGTTTGACTAAGCAAGGTTCAACTACCATTGTCCTGCATCAGTTTAAATGAGACCTCTTGGGATGAGAGAATTTATAAGTGTCACATTTAATGCATGGAACCTTTTCAAAGAGAGGTATTTGTTTTCAATTTCACCAACATATACTCTGTATAGCTGTAATTCACACAAACTTCAAGTCGTCATTTTACATTGATCAAGCAAATTTCCCATCCCCACTCAACTTAAATTATGGATTCATAGAAAATCTTCCCTTAACATTCCCATTATTTCATATAATCTTCATCATTGAAGCTAATTATATTTTCTAAATGCAAATATATTGCTTTCTATTATCATAGTTGTACACATATCATCCCCATTTTAACCCTTGGGCAGCAAAGTTGGACTTTTTTTTTACTAAATTTTGTTGAACCTCAGAGGTGAAGAAAAAAATTTCAACAGGGGGTTAAGGGCAAAGTCAGGAATAATCCCAATGTTTTTTTCCCTGGACGCAGAAAATTTTTGTGGAAAAATTAAAGAAAAAGCTCAGTTAGTCTACCGGCTTTTTCTGGATTTATCCCAACTTTGCCTCAGCCCACCTGGAAGGGTTTTCCTGACCTTCAAAATTATGAAAATGCAGTGGAGGATACAAAAATAATCCAACTCTGTCCTGCTATTGGAAAGAACCCTCTGCCATCCAAGGGTTAAAAAAGTGTCAACTTCAGGGACTTTGCAGCGTCTTCCTTCCTTGCAGAAGTGGATTTCATCATGCCAACTGTCGTGCGGTATGCCAAGGAAATCAAGGAAGGCGGTATGGAGTACCTCAAGAAGCTGACTGACAATGCCCCGAGGATCCGTACCTCTTGGAGTCCTGGGGATCCCATCACTGAGAAGCACATTTTGTATCATGCTGACATGTGCAGCTTGTTCCCAAAAATTAAACCGACTCCTAGAAGACCAACTTTGCCGGAGATCCGCCAAATTCTTCCTCTGGATGAGGAATGCGTGGAAGAAGTTGAGTGGACGGATGAGGAAGTTTTGGTGGGTCACCGGGAGATTGGTGGCCAAGACCCTGTCCAGGATGATCAGGGTGAGGTCAGTAATTTGTGACCTGTCTCAGTATGCTCCTTTCATCCTAAGATTAAACACCACAATATTCTAGCTGATTTTTTTATAACACTCAATTTGATGATTGATGACCCAGACAACTTGATTTAATCTTTTCTGGCATAGGTGTCGCCTGAAAATGTTTTTGATCCCATGCTTGTTCAATACTTGATAAACTATTCTGCACTTAATCCACTTTTGCCTTTTTTGAATAAAGTTTAACCAAAATGTCCCGACACAATAATTGATTCAACAGCTGCATCTGGGTGTTGGAATACTCAGATTTTGAAAAGTGATAAGCCTGTAAATTTGGATGGGTAATTTATTACTGATGCATTGTTTAACAGGAGGTTTATTCAATAACCGAATATATTGGGAAGGGTTCAAAACTTTACATATGGTAGGCTGTGAGAGTCCTGTGGTATTCCAATCAGAAACCACAAGTAACACTTTATGAAACTAATGCTGTCCCCTCTAGGCATAGTCATATATAGAGGTCAGCTTTGTTCAGTGTTGGTTTTGAAATTTAATACTGTATAAGTGTATATGTTGCTGAAATTTTGAAAGTCATAAGTAAAGTTTATTTCAGATATTATATTTGGAGGGACAAGTACACTTTTCATATCCAGAACAGAAAAAAATTGGATATAGCCACTTGGCATCAAATATTTGTTTTTCATAATTGCATAAACATTTAAGAAAGGAGAGACAGAGTAAAACTCAGAATTAAGGCATAAATCTTATAATATTAGACCAAAAACGTAAATGAAGAATCCAGTGGACCAGACAATTTATGCATGACTTATGGGATTTTGTTATAGGAAAACTCGGAAGAATCTGATGGAGAGCCATTGAGATTACGTGGTGGTGGGAATGGAAACAACTTTGAAACTTTTGAGGAGGATTTGAGAAGTGAAGCATCCAGAAGAATGACTGCAGTGTAAGTAAAACTGGGAATTTCATTCACCTTTGAATACATGATGTGCCTGAAGTAGTTTAAGCGTTGCTAAGAAATTCAAAGTTGAACCTTTCAAAGTTGAATTTCAAGCAACCAGCCAAAAAATTAGACTAGGAAAAGTTTCAAGTTGAACAAGTTTTTGAGTTCAAGAGTTTTGAGTTGGAGAGCTTTTGAGTTTGAGAGTTTGATAGTTTGAGAGTTTTTGAGTTTGAGAGCTTTTGAGTTGGAGAGTTTTTGAGTTGGAGAGTTTTTGAGTTGGTGAGTTTTTGAGTTGGAGAGTTTTTGAGTTGGAGAGTTTTTGAGTTGGAGAGTTTTTGAGTTGGAGAGTTTTTGAGTTGGAGAGTTTTTGAGTTCAAGAGTTTTTGAGTTCAAGAGTTTTTGAGTTGGAGAGGTTTTGAGTGAGGTAAACAAGCTTTTTTTCTGGGAAATGTAGAAGAATTGCAGGACTTCGTAAGTGTTGATATTCTTGGCATTAAATTGCTTCTTGAATAAGTTCACAGAATAATAAATACTGAACTTGGACAAGGCAGGGGTTCATTTGCCCCATTTGATTTTATCATCTAGCTTTCAAAACATATCAAGTTACTTCCTCTGTCCTGTGTCAAAATTCAAAAAAAAACCAAATGAAAAAATCAACTAAGTCAAATATTTATAAAAATTACAAGAAAAATCTCTGGGATATATAGCCGTGAGTCGCACTCGGAGTCGTCCACGCTGTCGCACATGTTCAACAGCAGCGACAGTCGGGGTTTAGCTGCTAGCAAATCCCAAGCACGTCATTCGGTCAGGTCGACAGCACTGTCGAACAACGCCAGGGCGGCTAATAATTCCCGTTGTGCCGCCACCTCCTGGATTGAATGCGCCGCCGCTAGTGTCAATGACGACGAAGTTCAGTCCTGGTCACGAGCAATTGTCGACCAAGTCAAGAGAATGGACGGACTTAAGGACGGAGACTTGATGGACAATGGACTCACTCAGAAGGTTATTTTCTTAATAAAAAAAAAGCAGGCCTTGAATATTTTCGAAAAATAAATTCAAGACAGATCTTCGTGTTGCAGTATTTTAAAATAAAAATTTTCAATCTACTCTGAACAATTTAGAGGTGGTATTCAACGTAAAGTCTACCAACGAAACATAAAAATTACCATGGTTCCGAAATGTGAAAACATTGTCGAAGCTCGGAACTACTTTTTGCTTTGAAGGACAAAACAATTTACTGTTTCAAAACGGAGATGATTATACTGTATTTCGCCCTTAGTGAAGTTAATTTTTGATGAAATGTAATTTTTCTTAAGGATCAGCCTGTTATTCCATCCAATACCGATTTTTTTTCGAATGTTGAGCAAATTTTTTTTATCATAGCTTGAAACTTCATCAGTCTTGACTTGTCAAAATGCCCATTTTCACACAGACTTTCCCTTGATCTCATGAACTGTACGTAGGACTATTTTATTCATTTGATCATTATTTTTCAATTATACCTGTTCACCTATGATATGAATGCAGTGTCATTTGCGGGAAATGCACTAGTTCCTTGAATTATCATTCCTATAAGAGAGAATTTTTGTTTCATAGAGAAGTTACTGTATTTTAGACTCATTTTGATAACACGATAATAAGCTAGAAAACGAAAAAAAATGAAAATGCGTTATGCCCACTCTCCTTGAACGTGTGCTAAAAATTTAAATACACTTTTGAATCGACAGGAAAAATTCTAAATTAATATTTTCACGTTTATGAATGCATTCATAAACGTGCGAATATTACTCACACGCTATGAAAATATTGTGTTGGATTTTCACAACGTCTGTAGACGCGTACGTATCTATATATAACTGCAATATTTAAAATTTCTCACATGAAACTCGATTGAATGCAAAGTTCACAGACTCGATGACTTCGATGTTGCGATCGCGAGGTGGAATGGCAAAAAAGACGAAGTTGCCTCCTTGTCCGAGAAATCCGTGCGAAGACAAAGAACCGCCACCACGAAGCATCCTCGGTGATTTGAGTGCCACCTTGGAAAGGTAAGATCCTAACAACAACAACAACAACAAAACCACGCTTGAAATACTGGAAATGAAAATCTTGATTTCGAAAATTTTTGAAAACCCCCCTTCGGCGCAGGAAACCTGAACTCGTCGAGTACGTGTTGGACCAACTGTCTACCATGGTGCAGGCTTACCAGGCGAGTGCTTTCTTTATTTGTAATTTTTTGTTGTTGTTGCTGAAAATCAAGAAAGATGTACTTATTAGCAATAATTTTCTTATTCGCAGGAAGAGCGAGAAATCCTTCGTCAGAAGCGATTTGACGCGTGGCAAAGTTACTTGAACCAGGTCCAACACGACTGTCATCGGAAAGAGGAGCTGGAGATTTTGCAAATGTTGGATGTTATGACAGTAAGTTACTATATTCTTTTTCCGTGTGAAAGATATTTTATAAAACTTATTCTATATCAGCCTTCTCGATTCGAAGACTTCTGGAATATAGGTAAATAGGCTGCATTATTGTTTTTAGCTTCATCCTGTAAAGATGTGATGCGACATCTATGAACTGGTGACGTCAACTCTTGAAATCCAACATCAAACTCAAGGAACCAAACAAATAAAATGCTTATTCATGCCTTTGAAAATACAGTGTAGTCCAGTGGTTGAAATTTTAATATAGAGTCGATTATTTGGTGATGTGTGGAAATGGAAAAAAAAATGAGTGGTGTCAGTCTGGCAAGTATTTGTTATAAAACTATTTCATTTAATTGCGTTTTTCGTCTTCATTTTCTGGTGAGACTTGAGAAAGCCCCTGGAAATTTCCGGCTGAGTCCTTGCGAGTCTGAGAAGCACAGAAGCACAAACACTTTTGGTTTTACGTTATTTTTTTCTTTCTAATTTTGAACTATTTTAGAGAAAGAAAGGAGAACCTCCGATGGACATGGACTATGTTTGGGACAGCTACCAATCTTCTGAAAAGATGCTTCAGGAAAGAGCTTCAGCTTTGGACGAACTGAATAGATCTATTGCTAACAAGGAAATTGCAGTCGAAAAATTGGCCAATGAAGAAGACTGGCTTCGTGAGGTAATTCTGCCTAAAAATTCAAAATACCTTCACCCAACCAGAACATCAGAGAATATTATAGTCAAGTTGAATGTACAAGGCACTATTATTTTTCTGAATAAAAAAACTAAATTCAAAATGGTCTTCTTTCGTTAACTATCGAAGTGAAATCCTCGGATCTTGATATTCGCGTTTCTGAATTAGTCTTTGAGAAGTTTTCTCTAAAAATAGTTTGAAACACCATCGAAGCGTTTCAAGATTGCAGAAAATTTTCCAGGAGACTCATGAGTCAGTCAATGAGACATATTTATTTTTCTTAATCGAGTTGATATGTTCTAATAAAATTCTATTGATATGTACCAACGAACAAAATTTTCGTAGATGAAAAAGAAACTGAGAAAATCAAACTTCGTCTCGCTTACAATTAAAAAACTGCGTGACGCCTCAAATGACCTTTAATTGGATCTTGAATTCTCGATGTAGAACTTTAAAAAAGAAAATGGAATCTATAGTGATGATTTCAATGATTTGAACAGCAACAAGCAAATTACATCACACCTGAAAGTCAGGCGAAATTCCTTCGTTACTGGATGAAACAAGCTCGAAAACGCGGGACTCAAGCCGTGCTGGACTTCAAACAATCCTCGTTGCAGCGGTATTTGGCAGACAGGCGACAAGTTATCGACACTCTTGTAAGTAAAAAATGGAAAACAACAATCGGAAAGCATTACTAATTCAATAATAATAACATATCCCAAGGTACTGATAAAGCGCATCGACGACAACTTCAGCAAACGCAACCGCGGATTCAACTGGGCCATTGACGCCCTCGGGGCTCATTTGACTAATTGCAAGGACCCCAAGAGAAGTTTCTTGTTTCAAAAGCTGTTTCCCACAATCAAGGATGGATCATTGCCTCATTATCCTAGTGTTGCGAGGTACGATTTAATTTTTGAGTGATTGCCATACGGCGCCGAATAGATTTTGATCCTGAAGGTCGCACGCTAAAAATGATGTAGCTCTTAATCTTCTTAGCAATTTTTCTTTTTTGGCAAATGATATTTTCCTATTGGCTGTGGATCATGTCAGGAATTTTCGGCATTACTTTGTATACCCAGGCATCATTTTTCTGGGTCATCTTCCAATGAATGTACGGTGAGCTAATTGGGTGGTGTGATTTCCTGTATCCCGGGTTTTTGTGTGCATCATGTGCATACATTTTTTGTGTGTTTCCTGCTGGTTTTCACCTGGGTAGATTTTTTATGGGCTTCTTAATTTTTGAGTGTGTGTGTATTTATTTTGGATTTTGTTTCTGGGCCACTGATGTGGGTTGTCGTGATTGTAAGGGATTTTTTGGGAGGTTTTGGAGACAGCAGCTTAGTGGGAAGAGTAGCGTGAAAAAATGTTTAAGAAGTTTTCATTCAAATGAGGTTTTCGACCGTTTGATGAAACTTCAGACTGACGCACAAAAATTAATTGGAACGAGAATTGAATAAGCTTTCATTTGGTATTACTTTCATTTTTTAAAGCTTACATATCCCGATTCAAAAACTGTTCATTTTTTTGGCCCACCGTGTATACATTCAACTTGTAGACTCTCAATTTGAAGTGTGACTATTTTTATTTTGTTGTTGTTTGGAAATATTTTTGGTAAGCTTTTTGATTGGGCTATTGCAACTGTATGTTAAATTGAACGAAAGAAACATAATTTGAAAAGCATTACAATAATAACTAATTTTTAATTTGATTTTGCGATTCCTCCTCGGAAGTTATTTTCGGAAATCGGTGTTCCTCCTGGGAAAATACTTTTCCAACTAGAATCGGTATCCTTATCCGTGCAAGAATAATATTTCCTGAGTATTTGTTGTGAAAATTTTAAAAATTAAAAAAAAAAAAAAAAAATTGTTGTTCATCCGTGCAAAATTAATATTTCCCGAGTAATTTTTGTGAAAATTTTAAAAATTACAAAAAAAGAAAATTACTGTCCACCCGTGCAAAATTAATATTTCCCGAGTAATTTTTGTGAGAATTTTAAAAATGGCAAAAAAATTACTGTTTTCAATTTGAGAAATGCTGGTCCAGAAAAAAATATGAGTTTATGATGTAGGTTGTAGGATAGAATCACGTCCGCAAAAGGTTTCATCTTTCTCCTATAATATACCTCAAATAATTTCGCAATTTTCCCATTAAACACATTCTTGCTTTCAGGTACTGGGACATCGTCGGAAAGGAAGCCAGGAATTTCGAACAAGACCTGACTGTGATCCTGAAGGAAGTTAAAGCCATAGTCCCGGCATTGAGGGCGCTTTTCCCGGCTTCCGACGGTGGTTATGATGCACTGGGTGAACTCGTGGCTGGTGCTGAAGACGATGCCAGGAAGGACCTGGTTTTCTATCCAGTGTTGCCCATTGGTCAATGAATATCTTGACGGAAATGCGATCACGAGATGAGAAGGAATACTTATTCCACTTTCACCCATATTTTATTTATTTATTTATTTATTTATTTGGCAATCGTCTGGATGTTGTTTAACCTGCGTCGTCGTTTCCACTTTCCCTCGCGCCCCTGAATAAAATTATTATTCGTACTCGGCTCGTGTTCTGTGTTTTTTTTCTAACGAATACGTTACTCACTGCATTAACAGATATGCATATTTGGTCAAAACAAAGTCCATTTAATATTCATCACATTTTGTTGAGAATATAATTCAAAACGGGCGTCTTTTAGTTCAAACCACATTCAGATTCTTCGACGTATTTTATTAACACGTTTTTATTAACTTGCTTTCTTGTCCGTTTGTTTGTCCGGATCAAATTTTGCAACTCGAATTTTGCTCACTTCCCGACTAGCTAGCAAGCTGAAACTCTCAGGATATCTTAGAAACTGATGACAATGCAATCTTTTGTTGTGGCAAAGTTACTTGAACCAGGTCCAACACGACTGTCATCGGAAAGAGGAGCTGGAGATTTTGCAAATGTTGGATGTTATGACAGTAAGTTACTATATTCTTTTTCCGTGTGAAAGATATTTTATATAACTTATTCTATAGCAGCCTTCTCGATTCGAAGACTTCTGGAATATAGGTAAATAGGCTGCATTATTGTTTTTAGCTTCATCCTGTGAAGATGTGATGCGACATCTATGAACTGGTGACGTCAACTCTTGAAATCCAACATCAAATTCAAGGAACCAAACAAATAAAATGCTTATTCATGCCTTTGAAAATACAGTGTAGTCCAGTGGTTGAAATTTTAATATAGTGTCAATTATTTGGTGATGTATGGAAAAGGAAAAAAATTAGTGGTGTCAGTCTGGCAAGTATTTGTTACAAAACTATTTCATTTAATTGCGTTTTTCGTCTTCATTTTTCTGGTGAGACTTGAGAGAGCCCCTGGAAATTTCAGGCTGAGTCCTTGCGAGTCTGAGAAGCACAGAAGCACCAACACTTTTGGTTTTATGTGATTTTTTCCTAATTTTGAACTTTTTTTTAGAGAAAGAAAGGAGAACCTCCGATGGACATGGACTATGTTTGGGACAGCTACCAATCTTCTGAAAAGATGCTTCAGGAAAGAGCTTCAGCCTTGGACGAACTGAATAGATCTATTGCCAACAAGGAAATTGCAGTCGAAAAATTGGCCAATGAAGAAGACTGGCTTCGTGAGGTAATTCTGCCTAAAAATTCAGAATACCTTCACCAAACGTTTTACACAGAATAGTAGTCAAATTGAGTCGAGAAATCATCTTAATATTTTTCGGAAAAAAACCAAATTCAAAATGTTCTCCTTTCGGTAACTATATCAAAGTGAAATCCTCGGATCTTGATATTCGCGTTTCTGAATTAGGCTTTAAGAAGTTTCCTTAAAGATAGTTTGAAACTACATCTAAGCGCTTCAAGATTGCTAAAATTTTTCCAGGACACTCAATTTTTCGTAATGAAGTTGATATGTTCTATTGAAATGCATGTACAAACGAAAATAATTTTCGTAGATAGAAACGAAACTGAGAAAATCAAACTTCGTCTCGCTTACAACTAGAAACCGCGTGACGCCTCAAATGGCCTTTAATCGGATCTTGAATTCTCGATGTAGAACTTTAAAAAAGAAAATGGAATCTATAGTGATGATTTCAATGATTTGAACAGCAACAAGCAAATTACATCACACCTGAAAGTCAGGCGAAATTCCTTCGTTACTGGATGAAACAAGCTCGAAAACGCGGGACTCAAGCCGTGCTGGACTTCAAACAATCCTCTTTGCAGCGGTATTTGGCAGACAGGCGACAAGTTATCGACACTCTCGTAAGTTAAAAATGGAAAATAACAATCGGAAAGCATTACTAATTCAATAATAATAAAAAATTTTCAAATCCCAAGGTGCTGATAAAGCGTATCGACGACAACTTCAGCAAACGCAACCGCGGATTCAACTGGGCCATCGACGCCCTCGGGGCTCATTTGACTAATTGCAAAGACCCCAAGAGAAGTTTCTTGTTTCAAAAGCTGTTTCCCACTATCAAGGATGGATCATTGCCTCATTATCCTAGTGTTGCGAGGTACGATTTAATTTTTCAGTAATGGCCATACGGCGCCGAATAGATTTTGATCCTGACTTTCGCACGCTAAAAATGATGTAGTTCTTAAAATTCTCAGCAATTTTTCTTTTTTGGCAAATGATATTTTCCTATTGGCTGTGGATCATGTCAGGAATTTTTGGCATTACTTTGTCTACCCAGGCGTCACTTTTCTGGTTCATCTTCCAATAAATGTTCATATAGTGGGCTAATTGGGTGGTGTGATTTCCTGCATCCTGTGTTTTTGTTTGCATCATGTGCATCAATTATTTTTTGTGTTTCCTGCTGGGTTTTACCTGGGTAGATTTTTTATGGGCTTCTTAATTTTCGAGTGTGTGTGTATTTATTTTGGATTTTGTTTCTGGTGCACTGATGTGGGTTGTCGTGATTTTAAGGGATTTTTTGGGAGGTTTTGGAGACAGCAGCTTAGTGGGAAGAGTAGCGTGAAAAAATGTTTAAGAAGTTTTCATTCAAATGAGGTTTTCGACCGTTTGATGACACTTCAGACTGACGCACAAAAATTAATTGGAACGAGAATTGAATAAGCTTTCATTTGGTATTTTTTTCATTTTTTAAAGCTTACATATCCCGATTCAAAAACTGTTCATTTTTTTTGCCCACCGTGTATACATTCAACCTGTAGACTCTCAATTTGAAGTGTGACTATTTTTATTTTGTTGTTGTTTGGAAATATTGTTGGTAAGCTTTTTGATTGGGCTATTGCAACTGTATGTTAAATTGAACGAAAGAAACATAATTTGAAAAGCATTACAATAATAACTAATTTTCAATTTGATTTTGCGTATTCCTCCTCGGAAGTTATTTTCGGAAATCGGTGTTCCTGTATTTCCAACTAGAATCGGTATCATCCTTATATCCGTGCATAATTAATATTTCCTGAGTATTTGTTGTGAAAATTTTAAAAATTACAAAAAAAGAAAAAATTGTTGTTCATCCGTGCAAAATTAATATTTCCCGAGTAATTTTTGTGAAAATTTTAAAAATTACAAAAAAGATTACTGTCCACCCGTGTAAAATTAATATTTCCCGAATAATTTTTTTGAAAATTTTAAAAATGGCAAAAAAAATTACTGTTTTCAATTTGAGAAATGCTGGTCCAGAAAAAAATATGAGTTTATGATGTAGGTTGTAGGATAGAATCACCTCCGCAAAAGGTTTCATCTTTCTCCTATAATATACCTCAAATAATTTCGCAATTTTCCCATTAAACACATTCTTGCTTTCAGGTACTGGGACATTGTCGGTAAGGAAGCCAGGAATTTCGAACAAGACCTGACTGTGATCCTGAAGGAAGTTAAAGCCATAGTCCCGGCATTGAGGGCGCTTTTCCCCGCTTCCGACGGCGGTTATGATGCACTGGGCGAACTCGTGGCTGGTGCTGAAGACGATGCCAGGAAGGACCTGGTTTTCTATCCAGTGTTGCCCATTGGTCAATGAATATCTTGACGGAAATGCGATCACGGGATGAGAAGGAATTCTTATTCCACTTTCACGCATGTTTATTTATTTATTTATTTATTTGGCAATCGTCTGGATGTTGTTTAACCTGCGTCGTCGTGCTCACTTTCCCTCGCGCCCCTGAATAAAATTATTATTCGTACTCGGCTCGTGTTCTGTGTTTTTTTCTAACGAATACGTTACTCACTGCATTAACAGATATGCATATTTGGTCAAAACAAAGTCCATTTAATATTCATCACATTTTGTTGAGAATATAATTCAAAACGGGCGTCTTTTAGTTCAAA